TTTTTTTTTTTTTTTTTTTTCCCTTTTCATCAGTCCACACCTGCCTGCTCTCCAAACCCCACCACAAACAAGGGCTGCACCGGTTAAATTCCAAACAAGGCAAGAACCATGCCAGCTCCTGCGTGGGGTGGAGGCACATGATTTCCTGGAGAACTCAAGGCTACCGTAACTAATTGAGCTCCCTTGCTGTGTTCTCTGGAATCAGGTTAACACCGCTGTGGCCAGTCCATCCTCCAGCTTGTGCAGGTGCCAGCCCAGGAGCCAGGGACTCCTAATGAACTTCTGCTCCTGTGCCACCCGAGCAGGCTGGGGCAGCCAGGGGTGCCCGTTTGGCCTCTGTGGCGAGTGGCTGAAGGTGCTGTGATGCCCCGAGTAGTTGTGCCAGCTGTTCCTGAATGCTGGAAGGCGGGATGTTCCCATGCAAACTGCAGCTTCGAAGGGTGACAAGTACTTGGATCCTGGGCTAACTCCTCGGCTGTGGGGGATTTAACCCACGGGTGCGTGTTGTCCCCACGCAGGGGGGCGAGTTCCCCACCCCAGAGGGGAGGTTGTCCCGGTGTATCGCTGGTGGAGGTTTTTACGGTGCCCAGGGAGCTGGGCTGTATGTGCCTGCCCGCTGTTAAGGAAGCCTTTTCCTCCCAGGGAGGGACTGCATGCCAGGCTGGGGTTTGGTGGCCGTGGCTTTGCTTGCAGAAGGCACCGCCGGAAGCTGAGCCGAGCGAGTCCCTTGTGCCAAGCAGGGGAACCAGCAGTGCCACAGTGGGTGCCAGGCTCTTGCCCAGGCATTGCCTAAGAACCAGCCCCTTCTTGGAGGGTGTTGAGATTCTCCAGAAGGGCATGTTCCCCTTGGTGAGCAGACTTACGGGACGAACTGCCTCACTTGTCTGCTCCCCGGCCTCGGAGAGGACCAAGGCAAGCCAGAGAGAAATGTGGGAGCCAGAGGATAGCCAAGTGCCATCTCCAACAGCTGCGGTGGGGTGTTGAGAGGGATGGGTGAAACCATTCCCTGCCTGGGTGCTGTGGGGGGCTGGGGCCAGGCAGCAGAAGCTCTTTTGAGCCTGGGCCGCCTCATCTGCCACCCTGGCAGGGCTGGGCTGTGAGTTCAGCCAGCCATGGGGTGTGCGGGGTGCCGGCTGCCAGGGCGAGGGGCTGGCGTGACGGGAGGGGACCGAGCGGCGGGCAAAGCGGTCGGTAACTCACCATGTCCATCTGGCTCCGGCGTGGTCTTCTGCCTGCAGAAAACCAGCAAATACCCTCCGGTCTGGGAGCGGGGAGGCTGTGGGTGCCCCGATGCCCAGGGAGCCCAGGCTGGCGATGCTCCCGCCGCCCCTCTGCCTGCGCTGCTCTGCCCGTGCTGTGTTAACACTGGGGCAGGACCGCCCAAGCACTCCTTAAAACCCACGACGGGAGTTGTGAAACAGGATTTATGATTTGTATTGTAATATAACACCAGTCTATCAGCAGCACCATCACCCGCAATAATCTCCTGAGCATCTTGCCACTGGAGGGTGACTCACCCGTGGGGCTGCTGTCACAAAATACCTTATCAGGAGCGACCTGACTGACAGAGCAGGATTTTTCCTGCTCCTCTCCTGATGATAAGAGGAACCTCAGCCATCCCGCTCTTTGTCTGTCTCTTCCGCATTGCTCTGGGTTGTGTTTAAGCAAAGGTTTTAGTAGGTGGAGGAGGAAAGGAGGAGAGTTTGTGCATGAGGTTACCGGGCCATTATATATACTCCTGTCTCTCAGGTCACTCGGTCTGTGTGTCCCCGCGTGGCCCCAGGTTGTGGCTGGCAGTGCTGGAGTGAAGTTAAAAGGAAAGCGAGTGGGTTCCCGTGGCAGGTTTCCTCTGGGGTTGCCGTGCAGGTGTCCAGCTGTGCGGGAGTAGCTGATGTCCTGGGCTTTTGTCCCTGCTGTGGTACAGCAGCAATGCTGGCTGCTGGTTCCTATCCCACTGGGATGCTCCTGGGCTGCTTATGGGGATTCACAGCGTCCTGCTGTCCGTGTGGATGCGCTGGGCTCCGTGCTGAGGCTGGATCTGCATGTGGGGCACCACGGTGTGGGCTCAGGGGTGGCCGTGCCCTTCTCTTGCAACACCCCCATCCCTTTGCAGAGCGGCTGCTCTGTGTTGATCGAGCTAATTGGTGATTCAGAAGGTGGGAGTGCACAGAGAGAGGGGCTCTTACAGCCCCCTGAGCCCCGTTTTGGGAAAGTGCTGTGCCTGTGGGCAGGTCTGAGGCTGCTCCTGGAGTTCCGGTGCCTTTGATGCAAAGCTGGGCTACGTGTCCAGCTCTGGGAGGAAGAACAGCATGCTTTAGCCCGCCGTTGGCAGTGCTGCCAGGCAGGACGGGTGTTCAGGTTTAGGGGTACGGGAGCTGCTTGCTCCAGCTGGGCGATGGCTGGTGCCGGGAGCGGGCTGGGGTCAGGCAGGCTGTGAGCTGCCTGGCCTTGTGCAGACTCATGCTGGAAGTGGTGGGTGTGCAGGATTTGCTGAGCAGCTAATTACCTTCCCCTCCTCTTGTAATCAGGCTTTCCCAACGGTCGGGGGGAGGTGTGTGCACTGTCCCAGTGGGGAGACCGCAGAGCATCCCAGGCTGCAGCTCCCCGGCCAGGGAGCCGTGCCATCGCTGTGCCAGCTCATCCCTCCTGCAGCTTCTCCTGGATCCTGGCATCTGCGTGTGGCTCTACAGGTAAGGACACCCTCCCCACACTCACTGCTGAGGATCCAGCCCCCTTGGGAGGTGTGGGGACCTCTGCAGGTTGCAGCCTCGGCTCCTGCCCGCATGGTCCGTGCCATGGGACCGTGGGATGGAGGGAGGGCAGGTCCAGCCACGTGTGTTGTGCAGGAGGGTGCCCAGCGCTCCTGCGGGAACTTTCATCTTGCAAACTGGTTGAAGGGGCTGTGCACAGCAGAAGGGAGCTGGGCAGAGAGCTTGCCAGGTGGGTCATGGCTGGGGCAGTCCAGGTAAATGGCTGGGTGGGCACCTGGTGCAGCACGAGATGCAGCACAGTGGAGCGAGGTCTCCTCTCCAGTCCGGGCATGAGCTCAGCCCCATGCATCCAGCTCCACCTGTGTGGCTGGAGCACGGTGTTGTGCCACAGAGACCCCCTTGAGGTGCGGGCTGCCTTCCCAGAGCATCCCAATGCCAGCCCCACACACCCCATGGCCAGGCCTGGCCCCGCTGCTGTGGGAGAGCAGCCCGGCAGCATCCATGGGGTGGGAGGTGGCACAGCGAGGAGCGGCTCTTCCTCCTCGGAGGTGAAGCGAAGGCTTTGAGGAAGCAGCTGAGGTTTGCAGATGTTATGTCAAGGCTCCACACGCCTCCGGGGCTTTGCTTCTTGGAGTGTGGCTGTGTTTCCAGTGCATCACCCTTCCCTGGCCTCTTGTGCGTGGAACCCTGGGGTGACTCAGTCTTCCGGGCACCCTGGCTCCATCTAGGGTCAGGCAGGGGCCAGGGAGAGATGGCCTGGGGCTCTGTACTGCCGTCAGCCTCCCCAAGCCACATGGACACGCACCACGTCCCTTTCCTCTCTGCCTGACAAGGAGCAGTCCTGGTTCCTCGGGGTCTGCAATGTGCATCATCCCCTCTGCGTCCCGCCCTTCCCCCACCAGTGTCCCCATGTGTCCCAGGCATCACCCCTGGGGCTTGGTGCTGAGATGCTCTCTCCTGGGGAGGGCTGCTCGCGGGCTTGGCTCCTGCCCCGGCCACTTGCATTGGGGCACAGCGTCATCGGAGGCTGGCAAAGCGTGCACAAAGGGGAGGCTTCCAGAGGGGGGAGGGATTTTGCCCCTGGCCGCCCGGTATCCAAGCTGGTAATGGTTATCTCTGTTTGCTACCTTCTACCTGCAGCCAGGGGAGATGGCTTCCTCCTCTTTCTGCAAGCAGGCAGCGGTTGCCACCTCACCCTGTGAACTTTGAGAAGACGATGGAATACAGCTGTAAGTGCATTGGACTGGGAGGTGTCTGTGACTGGGGACAGTGGGTGGAGGATGGCCCCTCACCCTGAGGTCCTGCCCTGCGTGCCCATGCCCTGCACGGGGCCACAACCTTTGTGGGCATCCCCAAATGCCCAAGCCTGGGCTCTGTGTGGGACCTTGCCCGCCCTCCCAGCTGCTGCTTTTTGCCAGGAGGTGGCAGTCGGAGATCACAAGCCTCTGGGGCACCTTGCCAGGGCTGGACACCCGTGTGTCCAGGGCTTCCCTGCCCCTTGGGCTCCCAGTTCAGCCTCTGCCAGGGACAGGGCAGAGCTGCCCGCATGGGCAGGCATGGCACGTACCCCGTGTGGGTGGGAAGGCTGGGCTGGGAGCAGCCATCCCGGGCTGGGGCATGGGTGATGTGCGTCCATCGCACGAGGAGTGATGTCTCCTCTGCTTTCTCCCCTGGGAACCAGTAGAACCAGCGGGTGCGGAGCGGTGCCCGGGCTCGCTGCGGTGAGGTGGCTGTGTCACCGGGAGAGGAGGGGACGGGACAGGCAGGACGAGGACGTGCCAGGCTCCATCACACACCGGGCTCTGCTGCAGCAACTCCCAGCCTGGGCCAGCTGTGAGCAGCTCCTGTGGCACGACGCTGGGTGCCGGGAGATGGCCACCCGGGCAGGTGAGTAGGTGGTGTTTTTCTCCTCTGATGGGGCAGAGGTGGGGATGCTTTATAGCATGGGTAGTGGCTTTGTAACCTTCTCTTCTGTTCTGCTGTCTGTGGAGCTGAGGCTCGGCATCGCTGCTCGGAGGCATCTCTCCGGGATGCGAAGACGTTGGGTCCCGAGGGTGTCAGGGCAGGGAGCACCTCCCACGCACGGCAGAGTGCGGGGCTGGGTATGAAGCCATCATCCTCCCAGCAGTGGTAGGCGTGGGGAGAGGGCAGTTTCGGCAGCCGGCTGATTCAGGGAGGCTATTGCACCACGCTCCTCCTGTCCCGCAGCTCCTGCCACGTGAGTCACTCCTGCGGCAGACTCCCCGACCTCACTCTCGCCGTCCCGTGCCGGGGTCCTGGGGCTCCTGCCTCAGCCCTGGCCCAGCAGGAGCAGGGTGCATCAGCTTCCCACGTTTCCTGGCCTCCCGAGCCCAGTAGAAGGGAAGGGCAGGCTGGTCCTGCTGGTCTGCGGCGCACCTTGGGAGCTGGCAGCCCGATGCTCTGCGGCTCCCCGGGTGTTTGCCGGCTCCCGTCAGGTAGAGCGAGTGCTGCGGGTTGCAGGATGACCTGGGACGTTGCTCACTATGTAAACACTGTGACCACAGGGGAAATGTTCTCACTCCTCTGGCATCTGTCTAAATTTAGCTGCTGTTAGGTCATCCTTTTCCGCTGTCTCCTCGCTCCCAATGCTTCAAGGCACAGCACCCCGTCCCGGTGCCGGGCGCTTGCCCCGAGCCCTGTGTGCGGGCTGGGGAGTGCTGCGGGGCTGGCCACACTCTGGGGCAGTGGCCAAACCCTGCTGTCCCTTCCTGGGCACAGCAGCCCCCAGAGCTGTGCCCACCATCACATCACCTGCACTTTGCTAATGGGTCATACTGGGACTGACTGGAGGGTTTATTGATGGTGGGGCCCTGCAGGTGGTGGGGATGCTGGGGTGCAGGGGGTCTGGGGTGGCGTTTGTGGGGGGTTTGGCAGTGCAGCAGCTGGAGAGGGGTGCCATTAGCAGCCCTGTGCTGTACAGGGCACAGGTTTTGTGCCGTGTGGCAGGCAACCTGCGGAGAAACGGCTGCTCGTGGGCCGGGCTGTGTCCGGGCACCGCGGTGTCCCCGTGACAATGCCAGGAGTGTTGGCCGGGGCTGGGCTTTGCCAGACCCCACGGTGTGGATGGGAGGGATGGAGGGGGTGCAGGGCCCCCACACAGGTCCCGCACACCCCTCTTTGTCACCCAGTCCCAGCCCGGCGCTGGCAGCAGGAGGCTGCTCGTCCTGACAGAGGCATCCTCTAGAGGGAACTGCCTGTCCAGAAATGGGTCTGTGCGGCTGCGCGGGGAGGGCAGCGGGGACAGCCTGGGGTACGGCACTGCGCGGCTGCGGGAGGCAGCACTGGCACAGCCAGCTCCAGTGCCACAGCTGGGACACCTCGCTGCTCTTCTGCACCTTCTCCACTTGGCCGGGTGCTGCCGGGGCACGGCCGGGAAGATGCATGGGAGCTGCAGGGAGGTGACAGCCAGCGAGTGTTCCGTCAGCCCCAGGAGCGGGAATAGCAGGGGATCCTGCTTACGGGGAATGTGGGCTCCTGTTTACGGCCGGTCCCTTCCTGTTTAGGCTGAGGGCAGCAGGTCACCCACGCTCCCCCTCTGGGCTCCCTTCCCAGGTCACCATCCCACCCCCTCAGCTCGCCTGGGGACTGCTGGTGACCAAGATGACCGGTCTCCAGCATGGGGCTTTGGGGGTAGCAAAAATCTTCATGCCACGGTGCTCAGCAGCCTCACAGAGCTCAGTCCCTCCACACCATAAGGACAGCACAGGGTGGGGGGACGTGTCCCAGTCCTGTCCCCACCGGGGGATGATCGGGACCCCCAGCCTTCCAGAGGTGTCTGTCTGCAGAGCCCCTTCTCCCTCTGTTTTGCAGGGCAAGAGCCCATCAACGCGCTGGGGATTGTCTTGGGTGTCGGGTTGGCCCTGCTGATCCTGGTGCTTTTTGGCTACGCCTTCGTCCGGTGGTACCAGAGGGGCCAATGCTGGCGCCGTGAGTACGGGCAGAGCCGGGGGCAGGCAGAGGGAGGGCTCAAAAGAAAAGGGCTGCAGGGCCTGGGATGGGGGGAGCACACCTGGTATTTGCTGGACCCCAGGGGCTGGGGAAGACCATGTGCAGGGTGGGTCAGGGGCAAGCTGGGGGCGTGCAGGAGGGGGCATCACGGTGATGTCCCGGTGTGGCTGGCTGCCCTGCTGGCTGTCCTGCCCATCCCTGTGCCACTGCACAGAGTCACAGCAAAGCAGAGGCACGTTCCTGGCACTGCACGGCTCTGACACCTCTCCTTACTGCCTCCCCAGGGCCCAACTTTGTCTTCAACCTCTACCACACCTGGTGAGTGAGACCGTGCGGGGACCTGGGGTGGGCTGGGGGCTGTCTTTGCATGGGGCCGAGGTGTCCCAAACCCTCCCCAGTCCCAAACCCACTGTTTGCAGGCGCTGCCTGCCCAGGACAGAGATGCCCTGGGGAGCCCTGGCTGTCTGGGGACGGTCCCCATCCCAGGGGCTGGAGGTGGGGGCAGGCAGCTCGCTGACATCTCTGCCTTCCCCGCAGCGGGCTGGGGTCGGTGGCAGTGGAGCTGGTGCCCCCGTTCAGCATCAGCGGGTCGCTGAGTGAGGCGGGGAGAGGCTACGTGCCTTTCCACGACCGGGGACCGTGAGGCGGGAGCCGGGCTGGCGTTGCAGGTAGGACATCACCCTGCTCCCCCCTGCCTGGTGGTGCGTGAGTGGGTCCCCAGTGGTGTATGTCCCCCCGCAGAGCCCACCACTGCAGGTGCTGAGCAAGAGCGCCGTGCTCCAGAGCCTCTGTCCTTCCTCGCAGCCTCTGTTCATCGCAGCTTTCCCTGGGATAGTCCCAAGGCTTTTCCTGAAAAAGTCCTCCCCATGCCTGTGGGCCATCAGGGGCTTTCCCTGGGCTCGGGTTTTATTTTCCCCTTGGTGGCTCTGGTTTTGTGTTTCCTCCTCTCCGTCCCCAGCCTGGGGCTGGGTGTGTGGCCGTGGGTGAAAGCTGCTGGTGGCCAGGGCTGGAGCCCGTGTTCTCCCTGTGCCGCTTCCCCCTCTGCCTCCTTCCCCCTCCTGCCGCCCACCACCCTGCAGCGACAGAAAGAGCAACCAAAACCAGCCATAGGGGAACTCCTCTCTTCTGGCTTCTTTGAAAAACAGCCCTAAATATGCTGGATTTCTACTGAAATTGAAACAATGTGATTTCTGCTTTTTTTTTTCTTTCTTTTTTTTTTTTTTTAAGAGCTTCTGCATTTGCTCCCTGCAGCTGGGTTTCACTTGCTGGCCTTCCCTGGCAGCCCTGGAAGGTGCCTGGGGTGGGCTGCCATCCCCATGCCAGTGCACTGCCTCAACCTCCCCTTGATTGAGCTGGAGGAGGAGAGCGCTGCCTTCTCCCCGGCTTCCCCAGCACACATCCCAGAAAGAAAAAGCCGCCTTCCCCACGGATCCCCATGGCTCAGAGCCATCAGCTGACTGAGTGCTCCAGGAGACCTCGGGCCAGGCTGTTGGTGAACAGGGCAGCGGGAGTGCAGGGAACTGGGCAAAAAGGACGGCAGTGAGCCACAGGGGCTGGATGGCCCGTTTTGTGCAACAGGGGAAAATGCCATAAGGAAATGAGACTGCTTCACGCTTCATACTTCCCTCCTTGGTCAAATATTTGGATCAGTGTGGAAATTTGTCCTCTGCACTGATAATGCAAGCGAACGCCTCAGAAAGTCCCCGTGGGCTTTCTCGTGCCAGCCGCCTTCAACCGCGGCAGAGCAACCGGCCATGGAGGTGCCTGAAGAGGCGAGCAGCCCTCGAAAGTCGCTGCCCCCCCTGCCTGGGAGCCAGTGGGAACTCGGGATTTTTATTTGCAGACTCTTTTCTCAGCAGGAAAAGGAAGAGAAACTCAGGAGGCCACAGAGCTGTGTGTAGGGAAACCGGGGAGGACAAACGGAGAGCCCCATTCTGCACCCCAAGCTGGTGGCCGGCCACGAGCCCCCTTCCTTCTCCTTCCCTGAGCCCACCGTGCTGCTCCTCGCAGGGTCTGAGCAGTGCTGGGGGCTCTGCGGGTGCCACGTTGGAAATGCCTTGGGAATGTTTGCATGAGCTGGTGCCGGGGGGAGGAAAGGTGTTTGCACGGGGGCAGCCCCTCGCTGGGACAGGAGGAGCAGGAGGAGTCAGAGCCCAGCAGCCTCTGTGTGTTGGGCTGTGACTTCATTCAGGACTATGTGAGCATCCGGGATTTCCAGAGAATCGGAGGGGATGGTCCAGTCTCTCCACTATCGAAGCCAAGGCATGTGGTGTGTGGCTTTCTGGCAAACTCATCTGGGTCTCATTGGAAGGAGAGCCCTGGCTGCTCACGGAGAGGGGGGGAAAATGCCCTTTCTGTCAGCCCCTGGATGCTGCCAGCTGGAGCCTTTCACAGCGAGCGGGAGCCGGCAGCACCCAGCGCTGTGCAGGACCCAGCCGCAGAGCTTGACGTCAGCAACGTTAGCCCAGCAGCCTCTGTGTGTTGGGCTGTGACTTCATTCAGGACTATGTGAGCATCCGGGATTTCCAGAGAATCGGAGGGGATGGTCCAGTCTCTCCACTATCGAAGCCAAGGCATGTGGTGTGTGGCTTTCTGGCAAACTCATCTGGGTCTCATTGGAAGGAGAGCCCTGGCTGCTCACGGAGAGGGGGGGAAAATGCCCTTTCTGTCAGCCCCTGGATGCTGCCAGCTGGAGCCTTTCACAGCGAGCGGGAGCCGGCAGCACCCAGCGCTGTGCAGGACCCAGCCGCAGAGCTTGACGTCAGCAACGTTAGAAAAAAAAAAAACAGAAGGGAAAAAAAAAAGTCTCGCTTAGTTTTGATGACTCTGTTTTTTCAGAGGAAGCTGAAAAAAAAAACCAACCCCAAAAGAAAGTAAAAAGCTTCAACCCCCAAAATAACCAGTGGCAGAAGGGATGGTGGAAGTGGAAAAGGGATGCACGCGGCTGGCATCGGCGGTGCCGCTGCAGCGGCCGGTCCCTCTGTGTGACGTGGGGAGCGCATCTCCAGCGCCAGGAGTTAGTGCAACGTCAGACGTAACAGGAGGAAATGCAGCATTACATCAACAGCCCTTCGCCTGCCTGCAGTGATTCATGCTTTCACCCGAAAAAATGTACTGCCCGAGCTGGGTTTCCACCAGCAGTTTTAATGGAACTATCCCCCGTGAAGTTTCTTGGAAACTCAGTGACTTTTGGAAAAACTCTCCAGTGACCTGGTAGGAGCCAAGTGTAACCCACGGTGAGTCGTTCCCATCTCATGCTTGTTTCCGTTCTGAAAGAAACTGTTCCCCTGCCCAGTTTTAACTTCCTCCACTCTGCCCTGGAGATGCTCTTGTCCCCGGGTAGGGGGGCCCACATGCACCAATGTGCCCCTGTGAAATCACTGCAAGCTCCCCAGGTCCTTTTCCCTCCTGCTCCTCCCGTGTGTGCTCCCACAACACAGCCCTCGCCTGGGACAGCTGCCCTGGTCCTCAGGTGAGTGTGGAGCTCTCAGATGGCTGGCTCCTGAACAATCATCTCCTTTTTTCCCTAGTTGTGATGTGGAAACGCTCTTCCCCGCGTGAGGCAAAGGCAAAGTTGCTCTTTGCTACAGGGGAAAGTCCCCATCTGAAAGCAGAAAGCACAGCTTCGCCTTAGAAGAGGATGTACAAATGAGTGGACCAAACAAATAACACCACATCCTTTCTGTATTTACAAATTAAATAGAATAAATAATGTCTGTATGCAATAGTGGCAGGAGGTCAGATCATAGTGCAGGCAGGGCTGCCCTGGCTCGTGCTGCCCCGCACCCTGCACCCTGTCGGAGGTAGCCAGCACCCCGGCTCTCTGCCGTAGGGGCTGAATAGGGTTTCTGTAGGGTCAGGAAAGTCCCTCGCTTCCTCCCAGTGAGGTCAGTTCAGGCGAGAGGTCCACACTCCCAGCAGCAGGATGGCTGGCTGACGTCAGGCTGCTCTTCGCTTTCGGTGTCTGTGTTGTGAAAGGTTTGGACGGCATTGGTGGTGGCACGTACGTCAGCTGGAGGAGCCTGGCGCTTGCTTGTGGGAGGGGGAAGTGGGGAGGAGAAGCGCAGGGCTGGCACTGGTCCTGTGTACCCCGTGCGGGGCTGCTGGGGAGGGCAGACCAGGCAGGATCGCCCTTTGGAAACATCCTGGGGGTGTAGCCTTGGGCTTGGTGGGCAGGGGAGGGGGGACAAGCCCCTCCAGCGCTCTCCGTCCCCGTGTCTTGTTAGCTTTATGCCAGAGACTGGCTGGAGGGAAGGGGCAGGGCTGGCCACAGCGGTACCAGGGCCAAAGCAGCCCCAGAGGTAGCCAAGCCGGTGCTTCTAGGGCAAGTCTCAGCCGCGGCACCACTCAGGTTGATGCATTCGGGGCTCAGCAGTAGCTTATGGGAGTAGCTGCTCCCTGTGGTCAGTGGCTAGAAGAGGTAGATGGGTCAGTGTGTGGGGCTGGCCCCGCTCCCCAGCCCGGGGACGGCTCACAGACGGCTGTCCTTGCTGTCCCCGTTGATCAGGCTCAGGGGGTTGATCTGCAGCGTGAGCCACTCGTTGTTGCTGAGGCTGGAGATGAGGGGCAGCGTCCCCAGGAGGTCAGTGTTGAAGATGCTCAGGTCGAAGGGAGATTTCAGGAGCTCGGGGCCGGCTTTGGAGGCCAAGGGAGCACCCGGAACCCCATAGCTCAGCAGAGTGGGGGCTTGGGACCCCACCTGGCTGGAAAAGTCCCAGGCAGTGGGCTCCCGAGGGGCGCCCCATGCAGCAAGGTCCTGTGTGTGGCTGCGGGGATGCTGGGGAGAGGATTGCTTCAGGTACCCTTTGGCCACAGCCAGCTCGGAGCACTCTACCTCCAGCACGATGTCAGTGTTCCCCGGGCTCTGTAGGGATCCTGCACAGCCTGAGAAGACCATCCCCGTGGCTGGGTCCTGCCTCGGCTCTACCATGCTCTTGGACTGTTGCAGGTACCCACGGAACTCCAGTTCTTGCTGGCTGTCCTGGTCAGTGGCAGGGGGGACCCCGAGCTCCCCTCCATGGGGCTGCTTGGTCTCTGTCAGGCTGGCCTTCCTGCTGCTGGAGGAGCATGCGGGGTGAAGGCAGGGGGTCTCCAGGCCCACCCCGCTGTCATCACTGATGGGCAGCTGCTGCTTGTAGCCCTGGGGCTCAGGGCCCGAGGAGCAGCTCAGTTCCGAGGAGGAGGTGCGCAGGCAAATGCCACTGTCAGTGCTGGTGCAGCTGCTGTCTCTGCTCCCCATGCTCTCTGTCCCCAGCAGGAACAGCCGGTCCTCAGGGCGTGCTGGGAGCCTCCAGCCCTTCTCTGGGGATGGCTGGGCTGTGCTGGCGCTGCCATCGTGGCCACTGTCCTGCTGGGGCTCCTTCTGGCACAGGAAGAGCTGCTGAATGGGGTCTGTGTCCAGGCTGCCCGAGGAGGAGGACTCCTGATCCACCCAGAGCGGGCTCTGCTTTATGAAAGACTTCTGGGGAGGAGAGGAAAGAGAGGAATGAGCTGTGCTTCGCCCCTGCTTGTTGCCTCCCTCTCCCAACAGCTACCCAAGCCTACAGCCTCATGCCAGATGCAAAGGGTGCTGAGTGCCCAGCTGTCTTACCAGGACGGACGGTGGCCTCATGGGTTTCTTTATGTAGGTGCAGACCAGCAGAACGCCCAGGAGGCCCAGGAACGACAGGGTGATGAAGGAGGAGCTGACGATGTTCAGGGCAAGCTCTGCACTCCCTGCGGGAGAGGACATGCCCAGGTGAGGGAGGAAAGGCAGAGCCCTCTGTGCCCACAGCACGAAGGTGCTACAGCAGGGGCAGGGAGCGGTTCTCTGATGCAGATCCCCAGGGTTAGGAGGGCTGAGGAGGATCCGCATCCCACAGGGTCCCCCCCTTCCCTGGCTCTCCCGTCACTTACTGTCTCTCTTGCCGGTGGTGACGCACTGCTCGTCGGTGCGTGTGGCATTGATTTGCCGGCTGGCCACGTTAGGCTCCACGCTGATGCAGTACTCCGTGTCCCAGAAGAGGTTGCTAATGTTGAACTCCGGGACGGTCTCCACCTTTTCGTACTGCAACGAGCAGAGCACAGGCTGGTACCCGAGAGCCCCCAGCCCCGTGCTCTCCTCCCGCCTCCTCCACTGTCCCCAGGGTGCTCAGCAATACAGCCGGCAGCAGCTAGGCTCAAAGTCCCCACAGGAGTTGGGGAACCTACTGCAGTACAACGCTCAGAGAAATCTCTCTGTGATGTTGTGGCTGTGAGAAAGCTCCATATTAAGTTTTACAGGAGGCTGTACTTTAAAAATGTTTTTTTCAATTTGAGCAGTACTGCATGTGATGGATGGGGACCAGCAACTCATCTCACCGTCCGATTGTCCTGCACCCTCCTGATGTGTATCCGGTACAGCCTCGCGTGCCTTTGAATGTCCTCGAATCTCACGGTGAGGTTGCCCTCCTTGAGGAGCAGCTGCAGCTCCACGTGGATGGTGTTGCCCGTCACGGAGAGGCTCTGGCCCGAGAGGCGCAGGCTGGCTGGAAACAAGACAGTTGGAAGAGCTTGTTAGGGTTTTCTCCTCTTCGTAGCAGTGGGCTGAGCTGTGACCGTCCCTCGCAGCTGGTGCCGCCTGTCCCAGGCTTATCCCATCCCATCCCTCATCCCTGCTCTCATCTGTCCCAAAGTTCTTCCCCAGCAGTGTGGCACCCTCACCCCTGCCATCCTCAAAGCCTCCTGCCCGCAGGGTGGAGGCAGACACCAGACCTACCTTCTTGTGGGGAGAAAGAGTTGGTCCTTTTCCACGAGGACTTGAGGTTTTTGGACACAGCCCTGACCCGTGCATAGTAGCGCCAGACAGGATCCAGGGTGTAGTACGTGAGGTCGCAGGAGTGCTCCGAGATGTTCGTGCACCTCGGAATGGCTGTCCAGGACAAATTAGTGCCATAGCTGGAGGGAGAAGTGTCGGTGTGAGAGCGGTGCTGGCTGATGCCAGAGACCCCGTTGTCACCGTTGCTGGTGATCTCAGCCAACCCTCCCTGTGCCCTGCCCATGGCTGTACTCACACTATGAGCTCCACATCATAGAGGACATCTCCTGGGGGGTTGTGTCCCGGCTCCCACCGCAGCATGTGATGTGCCATCTCTGCATCAAAGCGCACATGCGTGGGGCTCGCCAGCTGCTCACCTGTGGGACCCAAGGGCAGCGTTAGCAGAGGCTCTGTGGCATCCTGTCCTGCCCCGTCCCCCTGGAGCTCACCTGGAGCTCAACCCCATGTATTCAGCAGCCACCCATCCGAAAAGCTGTGGGCTCAGCCCTGGCTCAAGGCTTTGCCCAGCCCTGTATCACTTCCCAGTCTCAGCGATTGCTCATCCCCCTCTTTCCCTTCCTCTCTTCTGGGGACAGCCCAGCACACCCCAACCAGACGATCTTCCTGCTTTTCTGGCCCAAGAAAGGACTGAAAACCTGCTGCGTTCGTGTCCCTGATGGCCCCTGCTCTTTACTAGTGTCTCTATTTGGATTCAGCTTTCCTGTTTTGATTATCTGCTGTCTGGAAGGAACAGACTTTTTCACACCTCCTGCCTGAATTTCAGTATTGACACCTGCAGCAAAGCACAGCTAGATAACATCTAGCACCCTTTCTCTGCCGCTTTCCTCAGCAGCCGCTCTCTGACAACAAACACGAAGCCACAGCAGGGGAGGAGGGCTGTAAGCAGGGTAACCACCGGGGCATTTGGCCGCGATACAAGGCACAGTGGTCCATGATGGGGGAGGTAAGCGAGGCTGATGCCCAAGGACTAACACAGCCTTCAGACTCCCAAACAGCAAAGGAAGGTGAGTGGTGACCAGGGAGCCATGTCATGCTCCGAGCAGGCAGGAGCTGGTGGGTACCACCAGCCTGAGCCCTGACTGGCCAGCAAAGGTGTCCGAGCTGAACCCCAAACCACAGCAGCTCCTCTCACCGCCTTCCCCCATCTCGGTCCCCAGCCCGGTGACGGGATTTTGGGTGCGGAGGGGAGCAGAGCAGCCCCCCAGGAGCCGTGAGGCTCAGACACAGCGAGTAGGGGAGCCAAAAGCCAACGCGGAGTGGGCAAGAGAGACTCACCGTCCGTCCGCCGGGCGAGGAGGAGCAGTGCCACGCACAGTGCCAGGGCTGAGGCGGAGGGGGCCATCCCTGCTCAGCATCCTCCGTGGGCACCGGGCTGGGTGAGCAGGGTGCTGAGCTCTGCTCTGGCTGGCTGCCGAACGCTTGTTTTTCCCCCGGGGGCCGGCTCAGTGACGTCTCGGAGGCGTTAGCGCAGTGGGAGGAAAGTAGCAGCGTAGCGACTTCCACTTTTTCTTTAGCTGTGGGTGAGTGGGTGGACAGTAATCTCTCAGCAAAGCCCGGGCATTTCCTACCAGCAGCCTTAAAGGAAGAGCTCTGGGGGCTTTTCTGAACAAAAAGGTACACTGCTGAGAAAGGGAAAATAGGACTATATCATGTGTCTGCCATGGGGGTGTTGTTACTAAATGAGATGCTGAAAGCACGGCACAGGGGCTGAGCGTTAGCACCGAGGACAGCCTGGCTCAGGGACTTTATTGAGCACAGCACCCGCCTGGCAGCGTGTCCTCGGGCCAGTGCCTTGTCCAAAGCCATCTGGGTGGCCTTGGAAGCTCTGAAGTGGGGTGCGACAGAGGGGGCTGAAAGCTGTCCCTGGGGCTCTGGCAGCTCTGGCCCAGGGCAATGTCCTGGTGGTGCTGGCCGCAGGTGCTAGGACCTGAATTGGCACCGAGCAGAGTGTAAGCCCTCTGCTTTGCCTTCTGGCAGGCTTCCTTACAGCAGAGGCTTGCTTGAGGGCTTTCCTGGGGCCTGTGCAAACCCGGGGGCCCTCATGTGATGAAGAGTGATTTTTTTTTTTTTTTTTTTTTTTTTTTTGAGAGGGGAAATTTCCCTCCTACTTCTCCCTCCCCTCTAGACTTGACAGATCCAGTAGATCAGACTGGTTCCCTCTTGCGGGGTCTGTGTGCCTTGAGGCTATGGGCTGTGCCTCCTGTCCTGCCCAGGAGGTGTTTGCCTCGCAGCAGGTCCAGATACAGCAGCCCCCTGACACCGTGTGGCTGTGCTGCCTCTGATGCTGGCATGTAGCCTGACCACCACGTAGGATGGTCTAGAGGGTGTGCGGTGGAAATGGGAGAGTTCAGACACCAGACCAAAATTGCTACTCAAAATGAGCCATGCCGGGCATTGTGTTTCATTACTTGCTTTTTTTTTTTTTCCACGGAGACTTCTAACTTGCTAAATTTGGCAGAAATTTCAAGG